TTTCAGTCATACATATATGATCCATCTGCTTCTCTGTAGTGTGATCCAATGAGACCAATATTACTTTGTGTATGCGTTTATGAGGGAATATTGTGTCGCCTATAACCATAAATTTGCAAACTTCTCTCCATTATGGTTCCTTTCTCTTAGTCTATGTCATATCACGATATCTTCATACACGGTGTTGTCCAGTTCGACTTTAGCGATTAGGTCTCTCATCAACATGATCAGGTCATTTACTAGACACATCGCTATGATCCATTGCAGCCTATGGTAGGACTGATCCTTATCGTCGTCATTGCTATTATTGGTGGGTGAATAACATTGGATAATATTCATTGTGATTCTCCTCTTCTTTGTTTTGAAGGATATTTCGATGATTCTGTTAAAACTTTCCATTGTATTGACAGTAGTGTGATTCCTCTGTAGTTTTCACATTTTCTCAGAGCTCCTTTCTTTGGAATCTTGATGAGGTGTCTTTCTTTCCAGTCTGTCAGCAGTTGTTCCTCCTCTCAAATATTCTTAAATAGAACGTGAAGCACATTCGCAGTTACCTCTATTTGGCTTCAGTACTCCAACCAGTACGTTGTCTGGTGCTGGTGCTTTCCCACACTTCACTTGTCTTATGATCATGCTGATTTCTTCAACCGTTGATGAAGTGACACCTGTAGGAAGCTATATGTGTGCTGCTTCGATGTCCGTTGAGTTCTACGAGGCAGGTTCTTTCAGGTGCTTTACCCACCTGCTCTACTGCTCTTGAAACTCAGTGATTAACTTGCCTTTTTTGTCCTTGATCAGTCTCTCTGGCTCACTATATTTCCCTGCCAGTTTCTTCGTTGTGTTATATAGCTGTCTCATCTTTCCTTCTCTTACAGCTTTTAACGTTGTCATTGCTAGCTCTTCAACATATTACTGCTTGTCGACTAAAATTCTCCTCCTTACTCTCTTATTTACTTCGGTATATTTGGCCAGTGCCTCGAATTTCTCTGTTCTTGTTCGACTGTTGTTCATTGCTGTCTTCTTGTTATTTATTTCTTCAATCCCATCGAGGGTTTTCATACAGATCCATCCTTATGATGATGCTTCTTGAAGTCCAGAACCTCCTGACACGTTGGTGTTAGTGCTTATTTGATCTCTTTCCAACTGTCCTCTATAGTAGTTTCTTCTTCGAGTAGATCTTGTAAGGCTTGAAACCTGATGTTGAGAGTTATCTTGAGTTTTTGATTGAGATCAACCCCTATACTAGTATCTTGAGTTTGTTGTGTTTTTCGGTATCTCGAAGAAGGGCTGTATTAAACTTTTGCTATGATACTTCTCCAGTCGTCCTGTGCTTCTTTGTCATCAGTTTCATCATGACCACCATCAGATGGTTATCTCAATTTATGTCGGCTCTTCCTCTAGTTATCACGACATCCATTGACCTTCTGGATCCCCAAACCTCTTTCTATTATCGTTCCTTTCTATTAGTCTATGTCATCTCACGATATCTTCATACACGGTGTTGTCCAGTTCGACTTTAGCGATTAGGTCTCTCATCAACATGATCAGGTCATTTACTAAACACATCGCTATGATCCATTGCAGCCTATGGTAGGACTGATCCTTATCGTCGTCATTGCTATTATTGGTAGGTGAATAACATTGGATAATATTCATTGTGATTCTCCTCTTCTTTGTTTTGAAGGATATTTCGATTATTCTGGATCCATGAGATTCTCATCCTATTAGTGCATTTCGTGCTTCTTTATACAGAATCAGTGCGACTCTTTTTGTGTGCGAAGTATTTTTGTCTTCATGATTAGGGTAAACAGCACCTTTCCCGAAGCTGATATTTTCTGTCCAGCTTGGATCTAATGGGTTTCACTAATCTTGACAACCGTCACGTTGTATCTCCTCATTTCCGTTGCTATTCCACTGGTCCTCACGGTCTTCTACATTGTCCGGACATCCCGTCAGATGACACCAGTCAATTAAATATACAGTTATGAATTTGGATGAAATGATACAATTAAAATAAGATGGAGAAAAAAAGTTGCAAGGATGACGTCGTCACCGTGAAGAAACATTTTCTTTTTGGATACATAAATATGGCTTGAGGTGTTTGGTGGCTATGGCTCCGGAGAATTTAAAACGAATGGAATTTGACTGTCGAATGATGATCCTGAAAGATTTATCTACCTAATTTTATAACTATAAATCATCCTAAATTTGTTAATACAAAGATAGCGAGAATAAATAATGAATTGATGACTTAGTTCAACATTGCTGTATAAATATATAAGAACGTGGTGAATTAAATTGATATGAAACTTATCACCATCAATCAATCACTCAGTTATAATGAAACATAAAACCTAACACACGTAAAAGATGTCCCAATCACATCGGTTGACGAAAATTTACTACTTTATCAGCCGATTTAGTACACTCCATACCTTATCCAATACCCCAACTCTGCTCATTCAGTGGTCCCGAAAAAATACGAGTAAAGGTTCGAAGACATATAATCAAGTACAAGTAACCTATGAATATCCCCTACTCTTAAAAATCATGCTCAATTATATAGAATTTCTGAATAGGTATTACTTCCTACATTATTGACCATATATTTTGTGGATCAGTGTTAAACAGAAAAAAAAAAACAAAGATTTCAGACTATCACTTATCATATAAAATAGAAATAGATTTCCAATTGCATCTTCCATAGCTTCCAAATTCATGCACATCTGCTGTAAAACGATGATGAATACTCTTGACTGACTGAATAAATATAGCATAAATATATATTATACAAATATAACTGTATATTAGAATGAAGGCTGAAGAAATCCAAATTGTAGAGATGACCCTGATAATTTCGAAGCACACAAATTGAAACCTCAGATAGATTTCATAGGTCCCTATACTCCACAATGTTACAAAGCCAGCAAAACGAAGATTCATAAACAAAATGTCCCAGTAAGATCTACGCAATGATCAGTTTACATCACCACAAGATTGCCGGCTAATTAGAAAGTAGTATAGAACGTACTGACCAACGACTATGCAGATCTACTTGATATGAATTATTTAAGCTTGACAACCGATTGTATCACATAGATATCACTTGCAAGTATATTGTCCTCTTTGTCTTAACATTCATATTCATTAGAGTGCACCGTCTCAAACACAATAACATTGTTGACCGAAATACTAATCTCTTAACTTTATTAGGATCCGATTTCAAATGACTACTACTTATGTACCCGAAGAATATCCACTTCTCTTTTAATAGTACGATGTATCGTCAAATTGACAGAATAGAAATGTGTCTATGGGCACTGTCTACATGATTTCTTAAGTCACTTTTTGTTGTTCTATTTTTAATCAAAGCACTCTAATGTCCATTTGGTTAGCTGAAGAGATTAGTTCTATTTTGAAAAAACCACCGAAAATCAGGAAGTAATAAACAAGTATTTTGGCCTAGCTTCTGACAAAGTAGAGTACGCCTACATTTAATCCACTGATAGAATCTGAAACCAGGTTTCACTGCGAGTGGATATCAAAGTGGTCAACCAGTGACGGATCATACGATTATCCAGTGACACTGAGCATAAATGTGTCACTACACGCCTGAACAGAACTGACGCTAACTCATCCTATTCTCAACAATCACTAATATCTCTCCGTGTACTTCATTACAGAATCACTTATTTACCACCCTGCGGTCTTTTGATACTAAGCTAGTCAATATTTCGGAACTAATCTTAACATATAATATTTCAATTCTAACATTTCGATTTATTTCTAAGATATGCATTCTTCCTACACTATACTGATACATTTGTACACTAACTTCTGATAAACTTTATTTCTATAATTATGCTGGTTTCCATTTGCGATTCTTTATCTTGAAATATAACTAGTCGTAAGCAGTCGGTGAGAAAATAACGAAATCTAATGAATTCGTGTGATTCTGCTTTAATCAGTGTCCTTGGTAATTTCAAGTTAATAAATGAATTTGTATGAAAGAAATAAAAGTTAACCTATCAGATGAACGATTCCTCCATGTATTACTAGCATAAAAACATGCCAGTTATGAGTTTGAATATCGAGACAACTGTGAATATTAGACGGATCAACAAAGTAGTAACCAGCACAAATCTCTATCGATCAGTCGTTGGAGATATCGGACGATATGGCTCAGAATCGATAGAAATAGCACAGATGCACTCACTTTTAGCCTTCCCTTAAATTATGAATACTGAAATCTCCTTAGAAAATGTTTTCTTTTTATACTCTATATTTTCTACTATTGATACACGTCGAGCATGAACCACCGCAAGAAGGACTGCTTGAAAGGGGGAACGAGTGCGGTGTGTGCTACTTATATTGACATAAGTAGTATATGATGTTAGTCGTGAACAGAAGGTCTGGCAGCAGAGAGACAAGAGGATCGAACAGTAAAGAATGGAAACAGAATGCAATTTGTATGAAGATGCAAGAACAATGAAGTCTGAGTCATTTTGAGACAATTGATGGACATTTTGCAAATTAAGCGTTTACTTTATCATTGTTAGATTTTATTAACAAGTCCTGTAATTTTGTGTTAAATACATTCGATTGTCCCCACGGGTGTTCTGCTCACTCTACTACTACTTTTGGTAATTTTATTTCACTACGCTGATGTAATGCTGCAACTTGAAATGATACAAACGTGCCAGGTTTTACTTTGCAGTTGACTGACTGCTAAACGACAGATCGAAGCAAACCAGTACATAATCAAGATGAGAATCGTATCCGAATATTTTTACGTTTTCGGTATGGATATCCTGGAGAATACAATCTATCAGAATCTTCATGTAGCAAGACTGAAACTTATAAATAAAAAAGAACGTTTATAGATGCAAATAATAAACCAGTAGAGAAAATAAAAGATTATCAATAAAGCCATAGTGGAATCAGTATACGATTTTCAAGATACATTTATAAAAACTACAAAGGAGTAACAATGAACAATTGACGAAATCAGGATTTTATTAACTCCTTCGCAAGAACAATGAATGCATAATTCCTAACAAAGCAAGAAAAATTAAAATTAAACAAACAGACATGGCGAAAGATCAGAATGAATAATAAGAAATTTCACAACAAGCCATAAGTTAGTAGATTAGGAATTAAACGTAGAAATTTGAGGACTAAATCAAGATCTTATCTATATATTCGACATTGCAGGAAAATTAATGCGAGGTGAATTATATTCGATGTAAGCCCGAACAATAACGGCGTACGTAGTTGAAAATTGGTAACCAGACAGACATAAAGCTGAGCGCACTGATGTGAAGCAATTGAAAAAAAACAATAAAGTATCTCAGACTAAATTCAATTTGGCGCATGATTCTAATGCTGAAAAAGTTGAAGCCATTGATGTATTGCCTACTTATATATAAAAAAGTAGACCAAATATCATCGTCAATTTTATTTATTTCTTTTCTTTCGATTCTTTAGTCTTGGATTTTCGTGCAAAGGAAGGCATTTTGAAACGACGCTTCTTTTTCCTTTCTGATATACTGTCATCTTTTTTAGCCTGATATGAGAAAGAAAAATATATGAAATGTATAACCACACTCAAAATATGTGACTTGAGAAACCATATAGGCAAATAAAATTAACTACAAATGCAGTATCTATAGACTCATTTCTATCCTGTCAGTTTGACGGTATAATACTTAATTACGCCTATTACCCTTCCTGAGGAAGAATAGACCACACACCAGCATTCTTCATCCAACTACTACTTCGGTAATACTGTCCAGTTATTTACAGTTCATATTCATCCTTTTCATGTCTGATTACAATTCTCCATACACTGTGTTCTTTGGTTTTCCTCTCTTCCCTTTCCCTTCATGAGTCCATGTCACGGTTTGCTTTGTGATCCAAATCAGTGATTTCATCAGTGTATGTCCTGTCCACATCCAACGTCTTTTTCTAATTTCCTCTTCAGATTGGAGCTTGTTTGTTCTCTCCCACAGTACACTGTTGCTGATGGTATCCGGTCAACGAGCATTGAGTATGTTGTGTAGACAATTGTTTATAAATACTTGTAACTGTTTAATAATGGTTTTGGTAGTTCTCTAAGTTTCAGCTCCGTATAGTAGAACTGACTATCTTGACGCTCGTATAGAATATTGTGACTTTGATGATGGCTTGCAGACAGTTGTTTTGAGTATTTCGGTCAACAATGTTATTGTGTTTGAGACGGTGCACTCTAATGAATATGAATGTTAAGACAAAGAGGACAATATACTTGCAAGTGATATCTATGTGATACAATCGGTTGTCAAGCTTAAATAATTCATATCAAGTAGATCTGCATAGTCGTTGGTCAGTACGTTCTATACTACTTTCTAATTAGCCGGCAATCTTGTGGTGATGTAAACTGATCATTGCGTAGATCTTACTGGGACATTTTGTTTATGAATCTTCGTTTTGCTGGCTTTGTAACACCGTGGATTAGAGGGACTTCTGATATCATAACTTATGAATTTTATGTAAGATTTCAATATCTAACAGCAACGTCTGTGTTGTTAACACGTAGTTATCCAATGACCGACTATTATTTTGATTTTCGTCGATAGATAAGTGGATTATGCATGAAGTAATACTACAATGATATTAGTAATAATTGTTTAAAACCATATTTGTAGTGCAACTGACTTATAGAAATTGATGAAAAATAAAAACGAATCATCAGAATCCATCAATAACTAATGAAGTTTCTTTTGAGGCTTGATGTATATTTTGTGTATCTTTATACTTACTGGTGACGAAACACTAGGTTCTCTTGATTTTTGATCGAACAAATAAACCTGGTATTTATACTTTCTAAGTTTAACTGTTGTTAACTATTCCTCAAAATCATGAACGCCTTAGAATTAATAAACATAACTAACCTCTTTTTCAGTATCATCATGGCTAGCTTCAGCTCCACTGGTATCTGACCGAACTGCATGAATACGACTTACGTCTAAACTAGGTTCTCCATTATCTAAGATATGAAAATAGTAAGGAGAAAATTTTATCCAATTTTCAGAATATCGAGAGCTTCAAAATCAAATTCAGTTAAGATTATCAGTATAAACCTTAACTGAATTACCGGTATAAATATTCAGGTTACTATGTCTAGTGAGTTTTTACTGTCTTCATGTAGCATATACTCCGTAATTTTGTAGAGTAACTGTACGAAATAATTGTGATTTCAATTCAAAAATAGGATCAACATTAACATCTCATAACAACACAATTGCAATTTGTTGAGATTGGTGAAACAAATGACAATATCTATCACGCTAATATCGGAAATCCTAACATTTGAACTGAGTGAAGAAGATTAAGTTGCGCTAAATGTATGACACCACAGACAATAATGAACAGTACTTTTATACTGCACAATAGACTAATCAATGTGACCAGATTATTCGAAATGTATCGCGCTAATATATCACATAGTTCTGATAATCTTCGTCTTCTAATATCATTATCGAAATTAATCAGTTATAATAAGTACAAATTTGTCGGGAACCTGTAAGGGATGAAAGTATTATAGAACAACAATGTTTCCAAGCTTAAAGTTTTCTAGGTTTATTTATGTTTATCAAAAGATCAGGACGTATGAAGTATTAAGTTGACAGTGACACATTGAGTCAATATTCTTATTGCTAAACATATTTGGATGCTGAAAACTAGCAAAATATTTATCATTGTTGATTGTACAACAACACTGCACTTGGGCGGAAACAGTACTCAATTTAGTCAGCGTAATCTTCGGTCAGTGAATCAAATCGGAGACACATTCAAATAAATTGTTAGTCAAAATGTACATGTTGTCTAGAGTAGCAATCAAAAACTAAGTTGACAAAAGACATTCCATAATATTTGGTTGTATTTTATTCCCTACCCTAATTTCTTAAAACTAAAGGTTCTATGATATTCTGGAAAAATGAAGTGGCCGAGCAGAGTATATAAAAATCAACTAAAGTGACTTATGGCGCTAGAAATTCACATATTACAATGGACTTCTATTCAGTGTATTAAAAGCAGAAATCAAATGAGATTATAATCCTCTGATTATTCTTCCCAGTTACTCCATTTCAATGAGATAGACACCAAAAAAATACAACTCATAATACATGAAATGACTCAGTGCTAATTACGAAAAAATTTAGAAACATTATAACTTTCAACAAATGGAAAAGCTTACATTTTTGTTCTGTACCCATACGAGAGGCTGCTTCCATCGCCTCTCGTGCCACCACCACAGCCTGCCGAGCTTCCTCTATGCGAGCTCTTGCCTCTTCCTCCTCTAATGAGGGTAAACCTTTAGCTTTGCGTTCAACATTTTCTTTGTAGCGCTCAAGATCTTCGTCTGTCATCCTATCGAATGGATTTGGCGAGTATAGAGACTGGTAAACACCAACATTGTGTCTCTGATTACGATTTATGATACCTTTACTAGCTGCCCCAACCACAACAACATGTCCAGGCTCCAGAGACGGAGGGTTGGAAGGATCCAATCGAAGTAGTGTGCCTTTCGGACTGACAACCTTAGGTGATGCGATCCCCCCATCAGTTTCATCTGACTCATCTTCTAAGTCAATACCTTGTAAAATTCGAGATTTTGGTCCAGCAGACCTTACATCCTTGTAATATTTATCTTTCACCTAGAATAATATGACAAACAATCTGTAAACTTCAAGTTTCGAACACATTAAATGATAAAGCAAAGATGAGTACTTCTATACTTCTGAAACGGTGGATCCAGAAATGAACTGAACAGCCAATACGATATAATGGGTAAAAATAATACCATCTTTAGATGCAGTGCTTCAAAATTATGTTCTCTACAAACAATCTCACAAATAACACTTAATTTAAAATATCACTACACATCGAATGCACATCTGTCATGTACGTAACTTGATAACAACTTGTTAAGTGTCTGTTTAAACTAAGGTAACAATACTGTAAATTAACTGAAGTGGTTTTATTTATTTTGCAGGTAACGTTTATTGAGAAATGACATCAATCAGAGAACCAATGTTAAACAAGGAGTATTGTAAAGATAGTTCGTCCTAGTTTATGTGTGCTTGGCAATGCACATCAAATACAGCATATTTAAACCACTAAATTTGTCTCACTTCATGAATATTCAGGGCTTCCTGACCAGACTGTAACTACTATTTTGATGTGGTGGTTGGGTTCACCTAGTGATTACTCAATCGATCTACATTGGTTGAAATACTCGCTTCTTTATGTCCTACCAATACAAGCAAGTTGGTTAAAGAGCGGTATAATAAAAAGGAGAAAACTTCAGGACCGAAGGTACAGTTGTACTAACGACTGTACTGTGGTGAAAAGACAAGACAATAAGGTGTTTTCACTAGACCACTAGGAGTGACCCTCGTTCTTCACAACGGGAGAGGTTAGAAAATATCGGAGCTAAAAACTGCATAACCTACATGGGATCAGTAATTCACAATGCCGGTAGTAAGTCCTGAAAATAAAAGGAGCTTAAACATCAAACACCAACTGGTCGTGTGACCGGAATCAAGAGATTGACGCTTACGCTCTGAGGTCACGTTTTCGGACCCCTATGATCATCTTCAGTCCAGTTTCCTATTAGAGTCCCTTAAGAAGGAACATCCTTTAACAGTAGAGTAAACAGGAGCTGAACATCGCTCTTATAACATTTAACAGCAATCAAGATGACCTTGTTTTGAGTGCTCCCGAACAATATATGTATATAAACCTGTCAATGCTTTTTAAGTTGAAATATTACCTTCTTCTGTTGATTTTTAAACTCCTGTGGATCCGAACCCTGCAATGCAAATTGATTGGGATCAATCAGCGGGACAGCTACTCCACCGGTGCGTGTTTTATTGATATCTGACCCCTCTGTCCAGTGGGTTATCTTTTTAGGATTCGGAGTACCCACTTCTTCAATCTCTTCCCGAAGGTACGCATTTGGTGTACTCAGCCAATGTGCACGTGAAAGTGAGAGTGTTTTGGCTTTCATTTCAGCAATAGCAGTAGCTCTGAAACAAGAATTCAACAAATCTTTATGGTGATATGGCTAACAAACAATATAGAAGAAAATAAGTACTGTCTCCTACTTACCTACTTTCCTCATCCCCGTAGTATGAAGTTGCAAAAGATGAAACTGTAGGCGGTATCTCTACATCTTTGAGGCCACGAAGACCACGACCAAGACTAGCTGCACGACGAACATGGGCTGCGGCATCACGAGATTTTTGAGTGGAGGCATTATCCAGCAAATCTGCTGACGGACGCTGGAGAGTCGATGCAGCAGTTGAACCCTGGCGTACTTGACTTAGTCGGTAAACATAACCTGTATGGTATCCAGCAGAGTCTAATCTACGCATTAATGCCTCGAATTCAAGTTCTCCACGCCTCCAACCTGAACTACCAGTGACTTCGCCAACTCGCAACTGAACAGCAGAGGGAGTACGTCCTACGGAGTAAGCGGCTTCTTGAGCTTCTTTGGTAGGGATAACCAATTCATCCAAACTGATGCTCGCCAAACGTAACTATAACAACAAAGACGCATACATCAAACAGTGCAAACATAAAGAAAATATCATGACATTGAACAATACACCACAAAAAATCTCTATAAATCAGTAAAAAAGCAGGAATTAAAAGGGTACCGTAACTCGTGGAGTAATGTGGTTATATAATTCCAAATAATCGCAAGAATAATAAACAGTAGAACAAAAATCACTTTAAAATATAATCTAAGTGTGAATAAATATTTCAAAAAAAGTTGATAAATACTAAAGAGTAAGCGATGAGATTCTAACAATCCCCCAATATTATTTCAAACCGACCTGTGCTTCACACGCTAACATGGATGTAAATGCAATAAACCATGCTTCCTCAATCGATTGTCCCAAAGCTAAGAGACCATAACTACGAACCAATAAAACCATACAACTGGGAGATTTTTCCGAAAATATCCGAGATATTTCTGCTTTTTGTGCATCAAAATGACGCTCTTTACGAGAGTCTAAGTCTTCTTCCCCATTTTGCTGAAGATTATTCAAAACAATTAACGGGTCGTAAACAGCTGTCTCACCCAAAATCATGGCTTCTTGACTGATTGGTAAAAGACCTGCATTTGTACATGATACCTGAAAAGATTGAGTGTAAAATTTCAATCGTTAAACCATAAATTTTATTCACGCAATAAACAATTATATAAAGAAAATGTTTCCTGAACAGAATTCATAAATTATTTATATAAACAGCCGCAACCGGAGGAATTTCACAATTGAAAAAATTATTATTATTACTGTTATTACGATCGTTACCAATAGTGGTAGTAGTCATTACCACCATTATCATCATTACCACTATTTTTAGTTATTATTATTTGTAGAAGTGGTATTAGTGTAGTGAACGAAAACAGGTGGGGACAACCAATGTATTTTAATACAAAATTACAGAATATCTTGGCAAAATATGCGAACTGTTTTATATAAACATTTATTTATTCGAACACATAAATATTAGTACAACGGAGGCACCAAACAGATATGCGCCACATAAATCATTCAATTTGTGTGAGGACTAGGATACTGCCCGGGTGCCCGAACTGAAGCAGGTGGTTGTTTCAGGAGGCCACACCCGGAGCCTTCAACCTAAAGGTGTGATACAGAAGACAGTGGAGTAACGTCAGGAGATGCGGTCCCATGATAGCCGGTGACCAACAATCAGTTCATAAGCCATTTGTTCCTTCAGAATACTGGAGCCCATCAGTCATTCGGTCAGCTACAACGTAGAGCAATGCACATATATGCAGCGGTCCAAGTTGCCATACAGCACTAGCACAGCAAGATGAACACCGGATTCGTAGGAGTGGTTACGTCAATGGTGGTAATATATAAAGGAAAGATTGCATGTGAGGACATAGTACAGAAAGAAAGAATTAGTTCTTATAAAGAACTGAAGCCCATGTGCATCATTGGTTTGAAATCAGGGTTTTCCAACTCCCCTAGGTGGACTCTCCGTCTCCACCAACCCGGTTAAAGCTCCGGACATTCGCTTTTCGTCTTCTCAATTTCTTAAACAACACCACCACCGCGAGAAGACAATGAGTAGAACATCCTTGTCAGTGGCTGTATAAGCGTGGCCATGTGAGAGCATTTCGAGAGGGAAAGCTAACTCTCCCCACCCTCGGCCATAACAGGGCATTTGGGGGCTATGAGGACCATTATATATATATATATATCGACCCTGATAGTAAAAAAGGTCAGAAGAGCATTTAAAATGCCTTGTATAACAACGTAAACATGTTTGGGATGAGTTTCACACTCTTCTAAAAATAAAATGTTGTTGCAAGATTGCTCCATTTCAGTGACTAAACTAATGATAGGGAGTGAAGTGGTTGGGCACAGGACTGTCATCTGCGTGTTCAAAGTCGATAAGTGGACCTCCTGGTAAGAGATCAATTCCTGAAATTTCAGTCGACGAGAACGTTTTTTCCAGCAGTAGATCTATGATGGAGTTAAACAGAAATGGGGATAACGAACAGTCATGCCGAACACCACTTGAGGTTGCGAAGTCAGATGACAGTTCGCCATCAGCTCTGACTCAACTGGTAACGTTCGAGCAAAGAGCCTTCACAAGGTTTATGTACTTCTGAGGTAAGCCTTTCAATGACAGACACTGCCACAGAATCTTGATGTCTACAGAATCAAATGCCGCTTTTATATCAAGAAAGACCACTATTGTCGGATGCCGATAAGTATGCCTATGTTCTAGAACCTGATGAATGGTGAATATGTGGTCGATGCACCCACGACCAGGTCTGAAGCACGCCTGATTTTCTCGTGTTTGCAGGTCACGAGTTTTATTTAGGCCAGTATTTTAGATGCTATGTTAGCCAAACTAACCCCTTTATGGTTATCACAGGATGATTTTGATCCCTTCTTATATATTGGGACAATCAGTGATTGTGACCAGTCAGATGGGATTACGTCCAACTCCCAGATTTTAGATAAAATATTAGTTAACCTAATCACTATAATCATGATCACTGGTTGGATCAAATTCAGTCAGCGGTGTAAATGCACCTGATTTTTCACTAGCCCTAGTTCATTATATCACTTTCAATATTACTTAGTACTTTCATTCGTTTTTATTGAACCATATTTCTAATCTTGATGACTATTAATAATATGAATACGACTATTACTGCTATCTTGTTATGCTGTGATGTGGCAGCTTGAACCAATAAATATTTGTCCAAGGTCCAACATTGCTCATTACTAACTGCCTGAGGACATAAAAAACGCGACAGCAGAATAATGTGTAATTAAAATAAATTTAGAAAATTATTGTAAAATACTCTTGGGTGCAATTTCCGTAAATTAGATTATATAAATCAAAACCCAATCAAATTTAAGTGAATATCATGAACCGATTTAAATGTACGAAACTTCATGTATTTTAGATTAAATGATTTTCAGTATGGAGTTGCAGAGGATTTTGGATTTTATTAAAATCATGAACCCACCTAGGTTACACAAACATTGAAAACCTGGAAACACTGGACGACCATTTCGTCCTAGTATAGGACTACTCAATAGTGCGCATCCACGATTGCGTTTCAGTGGTTAGGCGTTCACAACTCCCGCTTGAAGGATCATGGATGTGCACAACTGAGTTCTATACTAGGATGAAATAGTCGTTACAGGTTGCCAGTGGTGGTTTAACCTGCATCGGTTCATGATTTCAATAAAATAATTTTAGTTCGACCAACAATTATAGTTTCAGAACCTTTCCTTGACAACTACACAATAAATATCGCTAATTAACATACATAATTTAAAATTTTATTACCGAACCCCAAATAAAAAAACATGATGATCTAGTACAACCCTGTCCATAAACCCAATTACCAAGAATCAGTTTACCTATGTATATAGGAAAAGAGAATAGAATTGAATCTAGCATTTTTTAGTCTAAGAAAAGTTACTACTAGTAGCACAAATAACTGATGACAAGAAAAAAAACCGACTGCACAGCAAACATCTAACACCCCGACAACTTAAGTTTGTAAATATTTTGCTAACAGTAGTAGTTTTCGTGTTCGCTTTGTAGTTATTTATGTTACCATGGGAACCTAACGGATTCTAAATTCCCATTCTTATAAAAAAAGAATTCACATAATATACCATTGCTAAGCTGATTGCTAAGAAGTACCTCGACTTCCTAGAAGGTTGAGTTATGTAGAAATAAAAATGTGAAGTGTTTGTAACTGTTGAACAAAAATAAACTTACTGCTACTGCAGCTGAAGTACTTAGATGAATAATACATCTGACATCTGGTCTGGCACTGTGAACAGCTGCATGCAACATCCAACTCTGCCTATCGATGCCTAGATCAACAGATCCTTGAACCAAAATAGATCCTAAAGTGAAAAAAATATTTACACATTAGCTACTAAGTAAACTTTGACTTATCTTAGATGACCATTGAATATTCTTCTCCCCTTTAACTATCATTAGTAAAGGTAAGTGTATAACTAATCATGTGAAAACATGGGTTATTGCAACAAACTTTAGAACAGCTACACATGACATGGTGTTACTGTAAAATATCCAAAATAGGAACATATATCTGAAAGCATGACTACATTGATGACAACACTTCCTGTATCGTACATAGGACATAACTAGGTTTAGCTCAATTTTGTCCTTTTAAAAGAGATGTGAAAAAAATTATATTCAGGCATAATTTATTCAGACAGAACCGTAAAGCTTATAAACAATAAATAAAAGAATACCTAAAAATATCTTAATTACAAAGGGAAAACAAAATACTTCAAGTTATCATTAGTCATGCGGAATGCAGATGGACGATAACCCAGTGACCTTTTGGAAATATTATACTGAATGGTGGGAAGTTCGCAAAGTTGGACCATGCTGATGTTTATTTACAGGCAGAAGTTGCTGAATAATCGAGAGAACAGCTAACCGTTAATATCCATCGTCGGTTGTTTCAGTATAATCGTCCATGCCAATCATTGAGGCTGGGTTGCTTCAGCTTTTGGACTTGGTGCCGTCGTCTCACATCAATTTCCGGGCGGGACAGAAAAAGCTAAAATGCATGCAACAAGAACGTTAACTCCGGCAGAAATGAAGTACAGCCAAGTAGGGAAAGAGGCACTGGCCCCTGTCTTTGCGGTCCATCGTTTCCATAAGTTCTTATACGGTCAAAGATTTACTCTTCCAACAGACCACAAGCCTCTTCTTATGATTTTCAGTTCAAAATCTGTTATTCCATTCCATTCTGCAAATCGTCTCCAGAGTTGGGCCTTAGTACTATTGAGTTTTGACCTCAACATTTCTGTCAGGCAGACGCTTTGTCACTTGTCAGTGAACACTCTACGGTAGGAGACAAGGTTATCGCCTCGCTTTCGACAGAAGACAACGCGGAATGTTACCAGTGTTAACAAGAGGCGAAATTTAACGCTAAAGTGCCGCCAATTTCATGGCCACAGTCTGAATAACTTTGGTGCACGATATATGTCAACTTCACTGGCCCAATCAACGGGACTACTTATTTAGTTGTAGTTGATGCGTTTCTGAAAAGGCAAGAAATCCTCCCCATCGTGTCACCAATGACGACCAGAACTCAACAGCTCTCGACGGAGAATGGATTTAATTGGATCGGATAACGGTTCGCAGTTCACTTCCAGCCAGTTCAAATAATTCTACCGACGGCTAGCCATCAATCAGTTCCGCTCTCCCCCTTACCATTTACAGTCAAATGGCCAAGCAGAAAGGGTTGTAAACACGTTTAAGAAGACCCTACTCAAGTCAAAAAGTGAGGGGATGCCAGTCGAATTACTACAGGATTTCTTATTTGTTTATCGAACGACACCAAATGATACGTTATCAGAACAGAAGTTCAGAGCAGAGATCTACATATGAAGAAGACTGAGGATGGTCCAAAACCTGATGCTTCTGAGAATCAAACGACCACCACTACTCAAAACTAAGTCGCAGGAGCTGCTAACGTACAGGGCTGGATGTTCGGTGTTCGCTTAAGGTTATAGACCAAACTATGACCTTTGAATTGAAGCACATGTGGTCGAAAGGCTAGGCCAAGTAATGTATGAAGTAGAGATGGGAAGAGACAGGTAGACTCGACACTGGAATCAGCTAAGGAGACAGTTTGCCCCAAATCACACATGAAGAAACAGAAGTCTCCCGCTCGAAGTTTTGCTGAATACCTTCAACCCACCCGCAGTCCCTACGCAAGAAGTACAACAAAAAACCGATCTACGTTCCAGAAAGTAGTCACTACGACAACAGTGACAAACGGTCAAATATGCAGATGAACACTAAGAACATACGCTATTAAAAGGCGGTGTTGGTGATGCTAGATCCCCAGAAATCACTTGGTAAACGTCTAATTTTTTGTAATTTTATTTCAGAAATTTGAATCTCTCATCTTCACACCAAAAGCCCCACTTTTACCTGCAGTTTGTATCAACTACTTAGAAGGACTCTAAGTATCACTGGTTCGTTTTGTTTTTCAGTACGCTATTCTGTGACGTTTTCCAGGGACATTTTTGTGCTATATATATACGCATGTATTGTTTGTTTGTTCGTTCGTGCCTCGGAGTTGCTTGTGGAATACATGTACATTTCCTCTCGGCTGAATCTGGTTTTCTCTCTCTAGTTAGCTGCGCTGGAGTGTAGTGGAATAGTTTACCCTGTCCTGTTGTTGTGTTGCTGATCTTCGTTCCGCTCGCCGGTTCAGGTGATATCGTAATCTCTTCAAACATAGCAGTTACAAAACATATCTGTAACATAACCGTTCCATAGTTCCAGACTTCAGAAGAATGACTACACAATCTCTGAATTGCTAGGGGTTTGGTTTCAGAGAAGAATACGGAGCAGTTGATCGCTGTGTTTATGGATCATCAATTTGAATCCGACCATACATAACCATATCTACTGGACATATCGTAGCTCATTTTTAAAAAATACTGTTTTAAGACGGGGAACTAACAAACTAGCTTTACCGAATTCTGTGTAAATGTTTCCTTTCAACATATAAATAAATCTGCCGTTGTTTTTAATTTAACTAAAGGCCAACACAATCACATCCATGTTTCAGCTACGTTGCAGCTGACTGGCTGACCGATGTTTCAGATGAGGTCGAAATTATTACTATATAAGAAGCGTACATTATTGATACAAATAAAAAAATACGAAAAAATCAAGGAATAAGTGAACTTACTATATATACATAACAAGACATTGCGTTCGCTAAATAGCTTGCAGATTTAAAAACAATTGAAAATGACCTAATTTTACTGAATTACGATGACAATAACAATAAATGGGATTATATATACGATATATATATATACGAGGTAATCAATACTTGAAATTAACAGACCAAGCACATTTGTGAATATATACGTCATAATATTATTAATAACATATTCAAGTTTATAACATAATCAAATTTACTAGATGCACGCATAATTTAAGTTTGTAGCCAGCAGCAAGAATAGTTCCAAATCTGTCTAGCCGTCAACAGTTTAAGACATAGAACAGTTTCTTGTTTGTACAAGTTGCTACCCTTCATATCAGCGGAGAGGGAAAATTAATGAGATTAAGTCCAAGAAAGTTGAAGAGTAGTAGTAATGAACCAAACATAAAAAAGAACAGATGAAGTTGAAAAATTATAGGTATAATTTATGATATATAAGTTATGTGCCGATCGGTAAACTGTTATGAATCAACCGAGAGGAATGTGAACCTTTGACATTAAAACCCCACAACTTTTGTAAAAACAAGGGAAATGGTTTGGGCGGAGTAAAATTCTGATAAAATATTTCTACATATTAGTCGTCAATAACTCTTATAGTCCATAACTAGAGACACCTGCCTTGAAAACGAAACCAACGCTAATTTTCTCCAGTATTTACAGATTTTCTTACAAACTAACAATTTAACCTAACGCCTTAACCTAGCAGCATCTTTCCGTTTGTTTTTTACTTACTGATCATAATTACCTACGATAACTCCTGAATACATATTTAAATCAGGTAGAATATAAAACACAAATATATTTGAAAGGGCTAAGTAAAACGAATCACAGTATATGGTAGGAAAATGACTTTAAAATTGTGAGTAGTTTAATGATCAGTCTAAAATTCATTAATATCATTTACCTTCAAGGTTAATTTTTACGAGAGAAGAGGCGGTTAGTTCGTTGTACAGTAAACCAATGGGATTGATCAGATATTCGTCAGCATCTCGAGAAACCCGAGCCTAGAATAAAAGTTTAGAGTGACAACTTAATGAAATCAGATATTTACATCTTATAGAAAAAAAACTAATCAAATCCATTTATTAACTTGGTTTATAAATATTTCACTTAGAAAACGATGGAGACTGGTAGGTGATTATTCAGATTACTCGAACAACTACCAATAACTAAACAGATTAAATGAAAACACAACTCATATATTCCTTCGTAATATACATAATATCAATCGTTAATGATACTTCAATAAATATTTTAAAGTCATTGACGAAGTCGCTTAACTCTCATATCGATTTACAACAGATACAAGACAATAGTACTAAATCTATTATGGTTTAGCTTCTTGAGTCGTATTTTACATTGTCTACAGTGAGTCATATTTTACAGCGTATGATTTCAAGGACATCTACGATGGAATTTTTAAAAAGTGAGATAATGGGCAACCTTGACATACGCCACTTAACGTAGACAGCCAGCTCAGACATTTCTCCATAAGCCTTAGTTTAATCTAAAATATTAGAGTAGATAGTACTCAAAAGGCTTAAGTACTTTCCTAGTAGACCTTTTAGAGACAAATACCGATATTAAACTGACTTATCAACAAAGTCGAAAGCAAATAAATAAAACAACTATACTCAAGTGTCGGTAAGTATCCTTACATTCCGAAACTGGAAGAGTGAATATATTTAATTTATATGCCCAAGTCTAAAACCAGCTCCGACTAAACATCAGATGGTTATGTATATTAACATTTCAGATACGACATTATTCAAACTAATTCAATCATTCTAGACACATTAGATATCATCTGACAAGTGGCTTTCACTACCATATAATAAATTGAAGACAATTATTATACGATATCGAGTCGCTTACAAAGTATGATACAAAGTATGGGTGACACCCAATAAAGCATCTCGTAAAAATTACAATGGATACAAACATCAGCAAAAAGAAGCGTTCGATAGTCAAATAACAAAACGACCAGAATGTTTTGCGATAGGTATCTTCGATGTCAACTTTAGATACCTTGATATCATCTCAGAACTATTCAATTTATAAAATATAGTAGTATTAAAACTAGTTTGCGACATCATCCCAAGGCCCAAAGTACAGCTTAAATGTCCATCCAATAAACTGCTTTATGTTCAGCTTTCACAGCCACTTTATGTACAATTTTTTCACTATCTATCAAAAGTCACGGACGTAGCGTACACTGACAGACTAAAGATTGTAGCTTGCGACTATTAACTGGCATGTTTAAAACGAAAAAAGCCGCGCGACTCAACAAATACAAATTTATGGTATGTGAAATGAGCCACAATAATTGTGAGGACTCGTGACAATATCAGTCTATTAGAATATTGGTGGGTAATTGGGTCAGAGACACGGTAAATGGAAATCTAGTGTCGAGAACACAAAACGACATATTCATATTTCTCAACCGCTTTTGCTACGGAATGGAAGAATAAACAGGAATTCCACTACGAAGGCAGAAATTCAACTCAACCGTTAGTTTCTAAAACCATAATTACTTTACAAGCGGTGATATTTTGGCAAGCAAATTAATTTTTAAAAGAAAGATCTATTGATGAGAAATTGATTGACCATAAACATACCTACTAATACTTCACATCATTACAGTCCTTCAAAACTAATATTGTAACCGATTATTGCCTACGAAATTGTTTACATAATTGTGTCTACACTTAAGTTCCTAAAGAACTGTTTTAAAAATTGTTGAACTGATGGCTTATGGAAAGCTTATATTGCTACAGTACATAGGACGGTAACTGCCAGAGGTAGTGACTTTGACTCAATTCCGTCTCGTCTCAATACAGACATTTACACAAACATACAATGTTCGCAATACAAGGGAGATCATGACAAGTAATATAACTGACCGTAATATGATTATTGATCCCTGTATTCCAACCAAAGATGTCAACTAATCGGTAGACAGAAGCCAATTTACATCGTATAAGGCGTTCCCCTTTAACGTAACTGCCAAGTTGAACAGCGCGTAAATCATTAATTGGTACTACAGGGACAGTGGCACCTGAAGATTAATAAAGATAATAAATGAAACAAAATAGTTTGTTGCAATGTAATGCCCAAAATACATCCATAAAAATAATAACCTATCAAAAATAATATACCAAATATTGTATCAGTAAGTCTTATTTTCACCGTTTTAGAGGAAAGAGCTACTATCTCTTTATCAATATGGCCAACTTTTATAGAATACGATAGTTACGATTTCTAAGTGTACAGTCCTCCGTAAAACAATTAAAATAAAGATAAACGATGTAATTCAGTATTTGGTTGGATGTTAAAAAAGCAGCTTAGTAACTGATTTTTAATTACAACATAACAATCTCAGGCGCAAAAGACATTTTCCAAATGATTATTTGCTTACTATAAATCCACCTAAAACTTGGTTCGAGTAGTTCACAACTGACGCTGACCTTTTAAAATGATTTACTCTACTGTTGATCTATAGTTTCACTACGTTTTTTTAAAAAAAATTAAACTCGTAATAGTTGAAAAAAATTATAAGAAGAGGGTTGTTCATAATGCTGGCTCATTTGCTGAGTTGTCACAAACAAATATCGTATATTACCTAAGGGGAGACTATTTCTCTTGTGAGTATTTTCTAACCGGTGTTCACTTACCATAGCAATAAGGTAATTATTTGACTGACTAAATAAAAGTGAAGATTCGACTGAAGCCACTTTACTTGGCATAGAGAATACGTCAAATCCCTAGGCCACAATTTTGACTCCCTAGTATTTACATTTTAGTTTGGATGGACATAAAATGGGTACATTTGTGTAACTATAACTGATTTCGAAACATACTATAAGCGCTTCGTGGAGGACGTAAAAGTTCGATTAATGGGTTGACCAACCATAAAGAACTTTTGCGAGAATTGGAAATAAAGTACAGCTTTAAAGGTAATGGATACTTGCGCACTACATAAGAAAATGTGACTCATTCATCAAGTACTCCGATTCTAGACACAAGTATCTGAAGGTTAGTGACGCTACGCAGTCCCAGTGGCCGAGTATTTACAGCACGCGACCTTTAACAATAGACAGTAGGTCCAAACTCCAACTCAATTACTTCAGTTCAGACAGTCAAACAGTGCTGTCATTCCTCACAATTACAATTATATGTACTTGGTAAATCATAGTACTATTAGAATCCCCAAATTAAGTGAGATGACTAAGTAACTCAGTGATTGAGAGCCAAGGGTATTAACAATAATTTCACAGCATACTGATGTCACTTATTGTAGTCAGTTATTCAGAACATGTGGTATCGTTATAGAAACCCAAATTTGTTATGAAGGAGCATGTTGGATTGAAGGATTTAACATTCACTTGATATTTAAAGTGACCGACTTGAGAAATGTTAAAATTTTAAGGTATGAAGGATGCTTCATTATCTAAAGAAGGGTCTTTATCGTACCTAATCCAGAAACGTATTTTTGTCTTTGATGACAATAAATATCACAAAATGATCAACACTCAATGCAACCACTAACAGTATTCGCCAACCGATAACTTTGCATCTGTGTTGTTTAAAGTCACAATTACAGAAGACATACGTTCAGTCTCATTTGATAATGTAGAGTATATTGGGTTTATTATGTGATTATATCTTGAACCTGATTGGATGAATGAGTACAAAGGCGCTGTATGGTATACGTGGATATATTCGACCTAATTATTACTGGTTGAAAGGTTGGCATACAGTACAGTGGAATCCGATCCCCGATTTGACAAGTTATATACCTCTAATATATATCAGTTCCACAATCTAAGCAACAAATTTGTGTACAACTGTCAGATTAGATAAAATATAACCCGAACAATGAGTCGATTTAATCAACTATAAAACGCTATTACTACCGAACATTTGCACTTTCATGCTACACGATAATATTTAGTGATGATTTAAAATACACCTGAAAAAATGAGGACGCTGAGGTAAAACAGCGGCTGACTAGCTAATTTTGTTTACTAAAACAACTGCTTCAAAAGCGACTTGTGCGATCAAAGTCAAGAAAAGTGAGTTGAGAAAAGGTATATAAACAGGCAATGATGTATAAAACAATTGATTTGTTCGGTTACTCAATATTCAACTGCAGTATGAGACGTTGAAAACTTTCTTTTACTTCTAACAGAGGCAAAAGGAGTGACAACCTATGAAATAAAATTTGCAAATCATTAGTGTCTATCCTCAAACCCTTTTAAAGGTTGATTTTAAATTAAGAACTGCTGAAGAAAAGTGATTTGCTGAGTTAGATATATCATCAATATAGAACCTGTCATACATGGTTAGTACGACGAGATGAAAATAACAAGGGATAAAAATAATCTAGTAACAGTGACAGGAAAAAAGACTAAACCCCTACCTTTCTTCCAACCTACTCCAACACTAAGAAGCATCGTGTAAAGGGATAAGGAGTGGATAGGTATGCGTAACACATATCCTCATTACCTCAGTTGAAGATTCACCACCTTATCAATCGATTTGAAAACTTTACCAATTATCCTATTCCTAACCTCAAAATTGTCTACTCGGTTATTTCACAACGCGCGATAGATCTACTAATACAGTAGAACAGAGTGGACTGCTTTGCAGTATACATGCTACTTGGTCGGCAAGCTAATATTAAAATTAAGGTAAGAAAAGTATAAGCCACAGAAACGGAACATTTCATGAATAAAAATTGAAAAAGCTAGTTCGTGAATTAGGAGAAAAAGACCTCTTAAACAGTCAGCTACAACTTAGGACCTAGCACGCATATGCATCAGTCCACATTACCACACCTCATTAGCACAACAGAATGAACACCAAATTCACAGAAGTATTTACCTCAATAGTAGTAATACATAAAAGATTGTGAATAAGGATATAATACAGAAAGAAAGAATTAATTCGTGGAAACAGAGGTATACAGTGATTTTCATCTCACAGTTTAGGGAGACAAAGACCGTACACATTTACGCCATTGTAATCGATACTGAGCCATGTCACACAGTCACCAACCACTTGTTGCGATAGTCGCGCGGACCCCAACCAAGTAGTCTGCATATACCTGCATGGCCTAGACCAGAAATTAGTGACTTTATGGACTGATGCCACGTTTCAGTTTGGACGCCCCTAACTTTCTTCCATACGTCTCCAACACTAGTCAGCATTGCGCGTCGTGCTAATCGGAGTTCAGACATATGTAACACATGGATCAACAATCTTAGTCGATGAAGATTTACAACCTCATCAACTGATTAACCATCATTCCCTAATAACCTGTGTCTAACCTCACTAATGCTTACCCGGTGATCCCAGCAGACGCCAGCAATATTTCTAAGGCATCTTTGGTCATATACTAGTAACTTACGAGGATCTCCCAACCTTAATTGCCACGTTTCGCAAATTAAAGTGGGACAGAACGCACTGCTGCACAGTATACTCGTCTCTTAATTGATAGACGGATATCTCACTTTTGTCGGTGACGTAAGTTGACAAAAGCCAAACGAGCTTTTCGAATCCGTGTTGAGATTTCGTCAGACACCAACCCATTAGGGCTGGGTATGAGGGGAGTTATCTATCACCATTCGCCCAAACCGTGAAAGAAAAACGAAATCGAGTTAGAATTGGTCTTAGTGACCTGAGAGTGTGACCGCGGTGCCAAAGGGACAGTTGCTTGAGGCCGGTTACACAGGACTATTTTGTGTTAGCTCCATACTTGAGACTTTCCCGCTGTAGACGGAAATCCGTGAGATAAGGTAAGGTGTGCATTCCCGGCATCAACGTTTTCTAACCCCACCCTTCCTCTGTGGGAAGGCAGCATCGCTGTTATGCTAGTTGTCTGAAGGAAACACCTTACTGCAGTCACACGTCTGTACAATCAGCAGTACAACTTCGCCCTCGGTGCTTGGGTTTGATGCTTTTATTCTTACCAGTCTTCACGCGACCTGTCTGGTATGGTGAGACCTTGAGGAGCAATTGTTCCAGCCAGTATAGCTCAACTAGTTCACTGCGATAGGCAAGCCTGACCACCACGTCAAGATAGCAGCAACGGTCGGAATCGATGTTAACTGGATAACGCAACTATTTCCATGGTTATACTTTGATCTTTGTAGTAGTGTAGTTGGTAAAGCAAATAGTTCATACCCTTAATGCACCGTCATGATTTCTACGAGGTCTGTGATAATTATAAGTCTAAAGTGATCAGTTTCACCTAAGACCGTATTTATGTCTTTTAACTAAGGGTGAGATAGCTTAGGATTAGTAATAATGGCGTAGATGCAGTTATTTCTTACATTCCCTTACATCCTGAATTTTAAAAATACCTTAGACTCTTCGGATCCACAGATTTCTTTCTTTCTTCCGTACTGCATCTTCTACACCCAATCTTTCTTACTGATGATACTTTTACTACATGATAATTTTATCGCGCTAGCCTTGTGGTATAGAAACATGGACAGATAAATGTGCCACTGTGTTGTGTATAACTAAACAAGTAATTAGAAGGCTTGCCCTAACAAGTTTCAGACAAAACCCTACGGTGGTCAGTATACGAAATAGGATGACGTGAAGTTTATTTCATCGGGATAGTAGAGCCAACATATACCATATTGCAAGCAGGATCTCGAAAAACGTTGCGCTCATCGGGATTGATAATACTGCCGACCTTCTGCTGGGACTCTATAGTTGTTAGGTATTTTGATATTTCTTGGTTTGAAGAGACATGCATGAATGACAACACTGAAAATAAAGATAGGGTTAATTATTCGCGAAATTGGGGTCAGTCGAGAACTCAGTAAGTCTTACACTTAGTAAATCAACCCCTGAATCATAAACATTCACCCTTAATTGACACATTAGTCCCAGGTAAAAAGCTTGTCATATTAAACAGTCAAATCAGGTATTTAATTATGAGTTACTAAGTAGTGACAGTCTGGCTTAAGACTGAATGGAACTTCCTAGTCATATCAAACATAACATCCAATCAGGGTCCAAAATAAATACCTTAAATGCGGTACATACAAGAGCTGCGTGTAAAACTAACTTTCCATGCAACACAAAACTGTAGAAACAATGGCGTACCTCTTGTGAAAGCAGAAGATCCTAGTCGAGTTTGTGGTGTCAGATACTCGACTATTTGCTTAAGAGCGATAACATTAGCGTTAAGACACCCAGATTTTAATGATGACGCCACGATCTTTTCCAATTCTTTCCGAAAATATGCAGAACGTAAGATGAGTGAAACGCGACTACGTTCCTGCATTAGTTTCACATCCTCCTTGATATCTGGAGGTCTTAATAATTCCCGAATGTAGTCTTCATTATTTATATCTACTACGCTCAGCATAATCAGAAAATACGGTACCTATTCTATCAATAAATTTTGCAGGCGAAACCTCTTTATGAACATCAACCGCCATAGCCACAAGAACGTAACGGATAATCTGATGTAAGCGCTCTCTCTGATTTCAGATTCTGGTTTGTGTAGTTAGGACAGACGGCCTACGGCCATTTTATTCCTTTTCTAGTATGCTTCTGTGAGTCTCCAGTCTTCTTTTGAAAGAGTCAATTTAAGGTGCGGACACCAACGCTTCGGGTAACAGGTTCCAAGTATTGATGACTCGGCGTGTAGTGTCAGTTATTATGGCAAGCCCATACACCTTATTCAAACATCCGGACATCCTATTTTATTCATTTTACTTGAGCCATATTTTGACCTTGTCAATTATTCGCTTATTAGCCTTGACTGTTTTCACATGAGCGTATATGTGTGTGCCCGTCTTATCCCATGATTCATCACATGTCTGTAGTTTATTTTGTCTGCCTATAAATACTGAGTAACACTTAATTAAAATGGAGTTGGCTTCCCAGCCATCTTCCACACGGGCACTAAAGGCGTGACAACCTGTATGTCATGGGTGTTTTGTTCGTTCTTGGCTTTTCTACTCGCCTGGTATTTCCTCTGAGACTTCCAGATTTAACGGGAAGAAAAAGACAGGATAAGTTAGGTCCAAAACCATTTCTCAGTATTTTGTACATCAAAATTAGATCTCACCTTGTTCTGCGATAGGACAGGGTAATGAGGTTCAGCTTTTCAAGCCGCTCTTTGTATGGTAAACCTCAGAGTTCCGGAATTACACGGGTAGCTGCCCTCTGTGCTTTTTCTAAGATATCCGAGTCACCTTTTAAATAGGGGCTTGCAGCCTGAACTCAGTACTAAAGCTTAGTTCTCACTAAGGGTTGTGTGGTAGTATCTAGTAGCAGCGGAATAGGTATATTTTTTATAAGAGAGGAAAGGGAAAAATGGCGAATCGTAGGAAGACATTATCTTTCGTTCTCAAGAATGTGTTAAGTTTTCTCTTAAAGGACTCCTGCACATACAGGGGCGAATTTCATCATTTTACTACTATTAAGGGGTAGGATGTCTGTGTACAGTCCGTTCTGCTGTGTTGCGTCTCCAATTTCTATGTATTACCGCTAAGATTTTTGTCGAAACTAAACTTGAGTAGGTGTTTAAGAGGATGTCCAAAAGCGTCTAGGATGCTGTAAATCATTAGGTCACCTCTAAGACGTCTATACTCTAATGGGTATAGATTCAGTGATTGGAGGCGCTCTTCATTAGGCTTCAGTTTGATTCCCCGAACTGATTTCGCCGCTCGCTGTTGGATACTTTAAGGAATATTCTTATCCTTTTGGAGTGAGGAAGGAAATACTATGCTTCCGTATTCTATGTGCGGACGAATAAAACTGTTGAAGATTATGTAGAAAATTCTACCGTCAAACAGGTCAAAAATGAGCCTCAATGCTCCCGATGCAAAGTTTGCTCGAAAGGCATTTTTCTCGCAGCTAGCGTAGGACATCAGATAGTGGGCTGCCAACACTGCCAGATTTTTCTCAACTGAGGATGCCTCTAGCTGTTATTTGAAACGTCTCAGATTAACTATTTTACACTTTAAAGTATCAAAGGTAAATCTGTTGTCGTCTGCCCAACTTTGAAGTCGATTCAGATCCTCCTGAAGTGTCCGTCTATCCTCCTGGTTGCGTATCTCTCTCCAAGGTTTTACATCAGCGAAAAGTAATAAATCTGACGATACCTGCTGTCGAAAATCGTTCATGTAAACTAAAAAAGGAGGCCTTAGTGTGGAGCCTTGTGAGACACCACATCCTTAAATAATGTGACCCTGAACTTGAAATGTCGATGTTTTAGATATGAAGTGAGCTAATCAACTAATAGTGGTTTGATGCCTAATCGTTTGACCTTATTGATAAGGCATATATGATTGACCGTATCAAAAGCTTTGTAGAACTCGGGACATGTGACGTCAACCTTCCGCATAAGATCAGTGATGGTTGTTCATCTGTCCAGGTTGGTTATACAAGGTTGACCTTTTCTGAAGACATGTTGTTGGGATGAAGAGAAGTTTATGGCCAACAAGTAGCCACGCAGACCATTCAGGCGATGAATGTTGGGAGTAATGTATACTGTCAGAACTGACAATAAATACTTGTTAATTCATTCTCTACCTCTAAAAGGCAACGCAACATCAAACCTATTTGCCGTCATGTAGCGCATGTAGCACAGTCATATTATGGTCTTCAGCCTGCGGTAATCTTTAATAAGGACAATAGGTTGTTGGACATGTGTCAACCTTTGCAGCTTGTTTTCCACCTGGTAGGGAGTTCCAGTTATTAATTACTCGACGCGAGAAACGAAATCCCACTATAAGATTTTGAGATCGCGGCATTTGGGCCTTTTTGCTATGGTCTCAGAGATGATCACTTCTGAATCGTTGTCGGCGATGCAGGACGCTGGTCTAAGGTCACCTCGAGTTCTACGACACGATATGGAGAAAAGGTTCACGACTTTTAGGCACTCATTGTTCAGGAGTTTGGAACGACCCTCCATTAATTTTGTTTCCGCCCTCTGTACACGCTCAAGTGTGTTAGAATCTATAATAGGACGTGAGAATAATCAGTCTGACTACTTTTTGGTCTCCGGATTTTGACATCGTCTGTAAATAATAATGACGATGGCTTCACCAGTCTCAGTAATTCGTTGACGTAGAGAAGAAAAAGTAAGGAACATAAGATAATGCATTAGGATTCCATTCAAAAAGTGTCCCATTTGCACTAACTCTCTGTCTTCGGCCTTAGGGGACGTTTTTATCTATTCATATGTGGCACCTGTTGTTCCAAAGCTTGAGGGCTTCTGCATAATACCTGAGTGAGAATTATTAATAAATGCTCTGTTAAAATCTATGAATATCACATAGACAGAAAAACTGTTGAATTGGCTGCTGTCCAATTTTCTCTTGCAATAAGCAAGTTGTTTAAGCACGAATGCTTACTAAGAAACTCGCGTTGCTCAGGCGTTAACAGATTGTAAGATTTTATGTGACGTAGCAAAGTAGCCCGAAAAAGTTTTTTCAACTACCTTAACTGATGTGCTGATTAGATTGACCGCCTATACAAAATAAGGTAGTGAATGAATACTTGGACTATACTGTTTTGATATATGCTTAGCTGTTTGAGGTGAACTCTTGACCAGCCAGCCAGGCTGTTACAGAACAATAAGGATTCTCGCAGGCGCTGCAATATCAGGTTTCAAAACAGTCAGCTCAGCTGAAATTTCGTTTTGCCCTGGTGTGCAAAGCTAGAGAGCAGACACTTTGAGTTTGAATTTCAGTCGAAGACTTACAGAACCATATTTTCTGTAGATTTATTTACCATTTTTGCTCTTTGACCCCACGTAAGGTAGCGATGAACCTGAGATGTGTCCAGTCATAATTTAGGACTTAACGAGCTTGAAGTTGGTTAACAAACTTCTGGTAGCTTGCTACTCCAGAAGCATCTGCTCGCGTTTCTTTAATATAATTTGGCTATGCGGTTCAGTGCAACAATTAAAATACGTACAACAGAAACTTTGATTCATAGTATTCTTTTTCGGGTTTTAATCTTTCCCAGCCGTCCAAAAAAGGAAGAAAATATAAATGAATGTCTAAATACACCTTTACTTGCGTAAGGAAGAAAAACATGAAAACTAGAATAATTGTGGATATATGCCATGTGACGGCGTGAATCATTTTGTCGCAACCATGCTATCTGACTTTGGCTTGTGAAAAATGGTATTCACGTATGAGCACATATTAAGATAAAACAGCATTTTTGTTTTCAACACGATAATATATAAAAAGAAATTCAGGATATGGCTATATTTTTGTGGGACACGGGATGCGAGCGCAAACAAAAAAGCATATACAGTATCCTTCATGTAGTGGTCGTTCAAGTGTCCTGGAAACATTACTTTTCGTTAATTATCGTAGACAACATCATAGCAATGAAGCATGTGTTGTTCGACTATTCGGGGGGAAAGAGAGTATAATAAATGTTTCCTTGTAAATAAGTGGCTTTGGGACGTTCGATGCTGACCTTACCATCGGTTTTGTTTTTACCAATGGCATAATATTCGGTTTGGCAGAAGAGGAATTTGAAGGGTCCTTCGTAAGCCGTTTCGTGTGGTCGTTGTAATAGACTGTGACATACAGAAACATGTGTACTATGTTGTAGGATAAATTGAACGAAATTATCATTTGACTACTGCTGGATGGAAACAGGTTTAACTAAACACATGGCCTTTGTAATCTTGATCCTGTAAGAGTGTGGATTTGTATGCATTGATCCATGAATGCTTTCAGAAGTCCGAGTGTCGTTCCGTAAACTAGTGCTGCAATTTATCCAGCCTCAGCTTTCACGGCATTGCTAATGAGAAGTAAAGCCAATGGAAGAGCGTCAGTCCGCTGTGAAACGTTTGCATCCGAGAGTGAAGCTTTAAGCTGCCAATAAAAGCGTTGGGCGGCCTTTTAGAATCGTGCGATTCCCTATAATGTAGTCAGACAACGGAAAAGTCCAGATTCAAACTGCCGTCTACGGTTTGTATTGATAGTTGAAAGACATCTGAAGTTTGCTACTGATCGTTCGACGATAGCGTGTGTGACTTTTTCAAGAGTAATGTCCCTGCTGGGTACCGCTTCTGGCCACTGGGTGAAACAGTCTACATAAATTGAGATAAGTGTATCCAGTTGAATCTGGTATGGCGATCCTTCGGAAACTGTTTAAGGATATTATACTAGGCAAGGCGTCTGCTACTACACCGTTCACCTCAGAAATGTTTTGTACGTCTTGAGTAAACTACGAGGTGCAGTTCAGTTGTCGAGATTCTTGAGAGAAATACCCGTCTGAAGATGAGCTTGCAGGGAAAGTAAAAGGTTTGTGGTCGGTAAACAGACTGAATTCTCGTCCTTTCACAAAGTGTCTGAGGTACCGCACAGCACAACACGTGGATAGGAGTTCCCTGCTGAGGGTTTCATACCCCAATTTGGTGTATTGCAACTGTCACAAGAAGAGCTCCAAGGGTTTTCAGGTGTTACCAGGCCGTTTAACATGTGTAATTACATAACTGGAGTCGATTGTGGGTAATCCACATGGGCCGCCACTTTTTTGCAGAGGAAAAACAGTTTGAGCGTTCGTAGTGGAATCGAGCCCTAACGAAACAATCCTCAAAGTTGAACACGAAACGACTGGAGTAAATGTTCAACGCTTAATGCGGAGAATAACCCAAAATAAAGAAGGCGGGAAGGATTATTCAAATTAATGACGAAGTAGACCATAATTCTACACGTCCACAGTATGTCCGAGAAAGTCAAGGGAGTCTGTTTCAAACTGACACTTCTGAATGTTTACACTAATACCGCGTTTTCAGTTGATTGAAAACAAGGTCCAGATGCCGGAAACTAGATTTTCTGTCGGGACATGTTATCAAGCAGTCATCCACAGATGCGGGTACGAAGTTGAAACCCTTGAATACATCATCGATGAATCTTTGAAAACTCTGTGTATCATTCCATAAGTCAGTAAGGTAAGCGTGAATATTTGTTGAATCTAAGGTAGAAGGATGTATAACCGTCTTAGGGGTGTCGTCTGCAGCTGTGAGAGTTTGGTCATACGCGTTAGCCAGATGGACTTATGAGGAAGCTGTTGTAACTTCCCAGGTTTCTGTCAGGTTATGGATGCATGGTAAGGGGTAGCGGTCAGGAGTGGGAGAAAGAGATGTCCATGAGGCGTTCGACGACCGGACCATCCCCAAGTTCATCATCAGCTCTTCAGGAGCTGGTTGGTGCGCCTTCAAAAATACAGGTGGGCCTTTAGTAACGACACTGTGTGTAACATTGCAGGTCGCACACAGCAGTTCCGGTAGTGTCTTGTGAATTTCTGGCTACGTGTGGAATGTCTGTTGGAAGTGTTGATCAATGTTTTGTTTGACGGGAACTAGGCCTAACCTACAGCCAGAAGATGAAGTTTCAGATGCAGAAAATTTAGTATTTCCCTCCATGGACCTCCGTTTTCTGGGGTTAGTGAGTAGACCGCAGTGTTGAAACAGGTCTGTACCATTCACTAGCATAATAACATCTGCAACAACGAAAATCCAGTGAATGGGTCTGCGTAAATCCATGTTAGGGTAAACACAACACTTATCGGATATGGCAACCACTTTTTAATTTACCCCATTTAAGTTTTAAAACCGGTCCATGAAGACAGTCGTTAGAATTCGTGGGAAGGACGCCTACTTCTGAACCAGTGTCGACAAGGCAGCGAAGTTTTGTCATCATATCAGTGATGTATAACAGGCGGCTATGTCCACCCGTTACGAACGCCTTTATTGTGTACCGAAGGGTTTAAGTTTTGGAAAACGGCAGGGTCTCCTGCAATTTCTAGAAAACCTACCATACTTGTTGTGGTATTATCATCAATCAAGAGCGTTTTTTATTTCGTAGTCTGGGGGCACATCTCTATCGTGATGATGTTCCTCGAGGAGTTCGAAAGGGTCAACGACTATGATCAGTGTTATGACAACTATTGAGTGTCATAGAAATACACAATGTTATTTTGTGTCGTTTGGGGATTTCCTTTGACAGAACAAACTTCGATGCAATAGGGGGTTCTGCTGATCTTCAGATGCAGCCAGTTTGCAACGTTATTTTGAAATGAGTCGAGAAGTGCTTCTGCCTGTCGGGTGAGATTTACTTATGAGTAATTGTCTAAGAGTGCCTTCGTCTATAGTCCGTTGACCAATGACCTTCTGCGTACGCAACGACATCTCTGTCGCTGAGCCGTGTTGCGATTGCACATTGAGGAAAAGCTGGTCCAACCTTTGTCGGTTAGGTTTCACCGACCGAGGATCACTCTCTTTAAAGTATCGTGATGTATCTTGTTATTACTGCTTATTATTGATCTACCATCTTTCGATTCAGTTTGAATTTCGATAAACATCCTTTCTTACTCCAATTTAGAATTATATTTCAACATCTGAACCCATTCTACCATGTTACATATTACAACTCATTGTTCTTCGTTACTGTTTTCTTCTACATGAAGGCTATAATGATATTTCACTCTAGAATAGCAACTAGTATGAGCTTCATCTGCTAATCTATCCTATCTTTGTTCTGCTACAAACTGTTAGGCATTTTTTGGAGTTTGCTTTCAAATGCCTTGCAGAATAGCTGTGTCAATTAGATGTTAGTACATTCACTACTATCTCGAAATTGTAGATTTGCTATGATCTCACTATCTAATTTATAAGATCTTACGTAGAAGTCACATCATAGTCTAACCTGACTCGTCCTACGTTACATTCAACAATATGATGTCTAGCCCTTTTGAAGGACAACATTTGGGCCGGGAGGAGAGTAATATATTCATCACAAAAAGGAAGAGGTCACGTGGGGTGACCACACCTGCAAGACGGAGTCATGCCACCCTAGTCAATTCTTCTCGTGTTCATCATCGTTGACCTTCTCTCCGTGTTAAATGTTGAATGGGAATTTTCTTGTTTATCTCATGTTCAGCTTTGAGCATAGTGTGGTTGTAACCAACACCACTACTTTACCCATCCATCCGAATCAAGGTGATGTTGGTTCGATGCTAAATCGAGTAGGATTGTTTCGCGTCAGAGGTTATCAAAGGAATAATACGAATCCTCCAGGTATTAACAAATTCAGAGATAAATCAAAAAGATGGCAGCAACTGATCGAGAAATACGTGTTAAAATTCCATAATGTTTGGTTTTATGCCAAACACGCTTAAAATGAAAATCTTCATGAACATTAATCAAACGTCAAGTAAAGAGGGATCATAATAATGAATGATCACTTAGTGCAGAGGTATTTTAGCAAGTCACATTACGATGCAAATGAGTAACCGTCGGTTAGCCACTTAATTTATGAGCAGTACAAGAATCCTGTACTCATGAATAAAAAATCAACATTGTAGAGATAATAATGCTGGTACTTACTTTGGTTCAAGTCAGAAAGCCAATGTTCGTGTTAATATGCTGTCAATATGAGTTGATTTCGGATCACATTGGCTTTTGTTGGGCAAAACATATTAGTGGGTGAAAAAATCTGAGAGTACAGATTTATCAAAATATGTAAATATGAGTGATATATACTGTTACAACAAGGAATAGACTCACAGTAAATTATCTAATACACCGCCGAAATGTCAATGGTTTGAAAACGCTTGTTCGGTAACGCCTTTGTAAACAGAGGATACCGACTCAGTCAAATCAGAAGTCACAAATGATAAAGTTCTAAGATATATTTTCAAATTTGTCGACATTGCAATAAGCGTTTGGTCTAAGCTAGCTAGTAGTCACAAGGGATGCGTAGCATAGCGTACCCACTCATGATCTGGTGTGGATGCTTGACCGATTGCCTTCAGTTAGGATATTTCCAGTAAATTAATGTGGCCAGCAACATTGTCGATGACTTTCTGAACTATATAGTTTTGGGATATACTTGCCTATACGTAAGTATCCGAGATAATCACATATGGGGAAATCAGTGTGGAATGTTAACATAAATTGTAATTATATTAGAGGTCTGATATCACGGCAGCTAGCACGTGGGAACGAGAATTGTATGTGCAGAAGTGTGTTTATGAGGAATAATCAGTAATTCATGAGAGCAGAAGACAAAGTAGTTACGAGAGTTCGTGGTCAATTTTAAACGACATTTTTGGAGCCGGTAACAGTAAATGTGCAAATTATTTGAAACTAAGAGAAACGGGAACAGTGTTAAAGATTGTTTACAAATTAGGTTTCTGTTGACAACTCAGAATTTAGGAAGTAGCAAGTGTAGCTCAAATGATGAGCCTTTTATTACTGGAAGAGCTGACGTGTATGCTCAACAGTGTGGTTTAAGCTAGTTTTATCCAATAAAATTATTATTTCCGAAGAGAATACCCATTTATTATTTCTTATGTACTGTCTCGCTCATGTCTTGCTAATGAGTAATGCTTTGCTGCTTAAAGCTCCTGAGGAATCGATATCATAATATGTATATTTCCACCTCGAAGAACCATGTTCCACTATTTCGAAGCTATGATTTTGTCTTGAGCGCGTGTTTTTAAATTGTTCGTCACAGAAATGGATGAACTCAGTTGGGGTGTTGAACTTTGGGTACGTAGACTTTTTACTAGTTAAATTAGTTCCTTGCGAACCGTATAATCACTCCCATGTATTCAGTCACACTTATGGTTTGCGTTTATTGCGTACATCCATGCGGGTTACATATCGGTGAGACAATTATTTACTGGAGTGTGTTTGGTAGTAGACTCTTGCTTTTAGGAAAGTCACCAACAGCACACGATATTACTAGATAAGTTAGTAGCAATCATGTTGGCTAACGAAAAAACAGATCTAGTTCGTGTTGTTATCAAGCTTATAATCTTGGTAATCCTAAATTTAGGATTAACGAAGCTACTTAATCTAACAGATTTTGAAAGCTATGGAAAATTGTGATAACTTTAGGCTGCTGCGCATAATAATACCTTTGCGACAACCTATTTAGTTCATTCAGTCGTTAACTTCGTCTACTGGTGAGAAGATCGTATGCATTATGAATTCAGAACTTCTGAGCCTTTATCAAGCCTTAACAAGTTTTTTAATCATGTAAAAGAAGAATATCCACTGTAATTCATTACTTTCTTGTAATATGTTTTTACTTTATACTGTCTTCTGATTGACTAATAATTGAAATTGCTCAAACGCTTCTGATTGGCTCGTCCCTAAATTAGAGTCTCGCCGACCCTTTTTGTTCTTAGTAAAAATGCTACACACTGAATGTTTTAACCACAGGATAACCAATATTTTGGTTTAGCTCTTTTTTAGTTGGGCTTGTAAGTTTGTGTTTAAACTGAGCCACTTGCAGTGTTTCATACTGGCAATATTTGGTTGTAAAGCCCCCAGTTTTGACTTCTTACGAATCATTTCCTAGGTTTTCAGTGAGTCGTAACACAGTCTAGTGTTTTATTTATTTAAGTGGACCCAAATCTTCAGATTATTTTTTGTGCACATCATTCCTATTGCTTCTACTATTATCTAGCTTCAGTCAGTCAGCTACAACATAAGACCAGGCGCATACATGCATCGGTCCAAATCGCCATACCTCATTAGCACAGCAACACGAACACCGGATTCATAGAAGCAGTTAACTCAGTAGTGTAATATATAAAGAAAGATTTTATGTAGGAATATAATACGGAAAGAAAAAATCAATTCTTAGAAAGAAAGAAATGAAATAATTTTAATCTCATAGCTAAAAGAAAGACATACTGTATACACCTACACCATTGTAATCGATACTGAGCCATGTCACACAGAGTCTCCAACCACTTGTTGCGATAGTCGCGCGAACCCCAACCAAGTAGTCTGCATATACCTGCATGGCCTAGACCAGAAATTAGTGACTTTATGGACTGATGCCACGTTTCAGTTTGGACGCCCCTAACTTTCTTCCATACGTCTCCAACACTAGTCAGCATTGCGCGTCGTGCTAATCGGAGTTCAGACATATGTAACACATGGATCAACAATCTTAGTCGATGAAGATTTACAACCTCATCAACTGATTAACCATCATTCCCTAATAACCTGTGTCTAACCTCACTAATGCTTACCCGGTGATCCCCAAGCATCCTAGCATTGTTGCTTAGTGCCGCCAAAAGACTGCGTTTTATCAGCGTCTTCACCAAACAGAACTATGCCATCTGTGTGTTCAAAGTCGATAAGTGGACCTCTTGGTAAGAGATCAATTCCTGAAATTTCAGTCGACGAGAACGTTTTTTCCAGCAGTAGGTTCCCCATAAGCTCTGACTCAACTGGTAACGTTCGAGCAAAGAGCCTTCACAAGGTTTATGTACTTCTGAGGTAAGCCTTTCAATGACAGACACTGCCACAGAACCTCTCGGTCTATATAATCAAATGCTGCTTTTAAGTCAAGAAAGACCACCATTGTCGGATGCCGATGAGTATGCCTATGTTCTAGAACCTGATGAATGGTGAATATGTGGTCGATGCACCCACGACCAGGTCTGAAGCACGCCTGATTTCTGGTGTTTGCAGTTCACGAGTTTTATTTATGCTTCCGATAATTATTGAGGCCAGTATTTTAGATGCTATCTGGCTTCAATAAAGAGACCAATGGAGGTCTATAAACTATGCATAAGATTAACACTACGTGCATTTTCAAGGTTTTGCTGCTATCTGGTTGTTACAAGGCAATGAAGACCGTCAAAGGATTGGCTTCCTGCCTCCCTTAGTACAACTTCAGTTACTCTAGATATGCCTTAGGTTGGAATGTGGTTTATTATCTTCCATTTGTCAAAAATAGATTTAAAACTTTGTTACTTCATATCAATCCATTGGTTTTTTCCTGTCCACACATTTGTATTAACTTGAGAGATGTTTTGGCTACTCTAATTTCTTTAATGTTTCAGTCAGTCAGTAACAACGTAGAACTTCGTACGTACGTACATCAGTTCGAGTTGCCACACCACATTAGCACAGAGATGCAGTTGTCGATTCAAATCCCGTAGTGGTAGAGGTAATAAGAGTATAAGCAGTGATCGGGAAGATAAGGGTTTGGAGATGTTATTTAAAGAGTATAATCCAGTGAAATAAATTTGGAAAGAGGAAAAAAGGCACATGAAGAATTCAGAAGATTAGAATTTGGGAGAACACAGAGTGCATGCACCTGCGCCATTGAAAACGATTTTGAGCCATGCCATTCAGGGTCTCTAACCACCGGTTGCTATCATCTCGTGGTCCCCAACCAGGTAGTCTACACCTACCAACATGACTCAGTTCACTTGTCAGTGACTTCATGGACTTGTGCCATGTTTTGGTTTGGCCGCCCCTAGCTTTCTTCCAACCTACTCCTATACCACTGAACATAGCACGTCGAGGCAGTCGGTCGTTGGGCATACGTGACACGTGTCCCAGCCATCTCAACTGATCAAGTTTCACTACTTCATCAATTGATTTGCCATCCTTACCTAGTACCCGTTTCCTAACAACTGTGTTACTTACTCGATGGTCCCATGATATACGAGCAATATTTCGAAGACACCTATGACCAAATACTAGTAACCTACGGATATCCTCTACTCTTACCGGCCATGTTTCACTGCCATAAAGTAGGACGGAACGAACTGCTGCGCAGTAAACACGTCCTTTGGTTGATAGACGGATATCTCGCCTACGCCATAAATGACGCAAGTTGGTAAAAGCTAGTCGAGCCTTCTGTATCCGTGCTGAGATTTCGTCACACACCAAACCACAAGGGCTGATGAGACTTCCAAGATAAGTGAAGCGGTCGACACACTCAACTACTTCACTCCCTATCACTGGTTCGGGTGTCAATGCAACCCAATCCTGAAGCAACATTTTGCATTTCGAGGGAGAGAATCGCATCCCGAACATGCTTGCATTGTTGATTAGGGTGGTCAGAAGACTCTGTATTTTGTCAGCGTTTTCACCAAATAAAACTATGTCATCTGCATATTCTAAGTCAACAAGTGAACCTCCCCGATCGAAGCTGCTACCTTGACGCGGTGGTCGGGCTTGCCTATCGTGATGACCCAACCGAGCTATATTGCCTGGAACATATGTTCCTGCAGGTTCTACCATGCTAGGCAGGTCGATTGGTGAACGGTAAGACTAAAAGCAGCAACTCAAGGTCTGAGGGCAAAGTCGTACTGCTGACTGTACAGAGGTGTGACAGCAGTAAGGTGTTTCCTTCAGACAACCAGCATGACAGCGATGTTGCCTTCCCACAAGGAGGGGTGGGGTTAGAAAAGGTCGACCCTAAAAATGCACACCTCACCTTACCTCACGGATTTCCGTCTCCGGCGGTAAGGCCCTTTGAAGAACGGAGCTAACACGTCAAAAACCTCCCACGAAAAGGCCGTGCGCGACCGGCCTCAAGCAGTTGTCCCTTGGGCACTGCGGTCACGCTCCCAGGTCACTGAGACCACCTCTAATCCAATTTCCTTTTCAGGTATCTCCAGAAGAACCCTTCCTCGGTGTGGGCGACCGGGAAGTGACATCAGCCCTCATACCCGTAACAGCACAAGAGAGCAAGGTGGTCACATTCAAATCCTTCCTACACCTCCTAATACCTCTCTTATCTCCCCGACTAACCCGAGCAAGGTGGTCACATTCAAATCCTTCCTACACCTCCTAATACCTCTCTTATCTCCCCGACTAACCCTCCTCACGTCTCTTTATCACCTCGCACCGCTAGGGCAAACGATTCGAGTACGTGGAACGCCATTCCTGGTCTCCTGAAACCACGCTCTAAACTACACGTAGGAGCTTTAAACATACGAACACTTTGCCAAATAGGACAGCAGGCTTCCTTAGCTAAAACTTTAGAATCTCGCGCCATCGATGTGTGCTGCGTCTCCGAAACGCGCATACAGGATCCAAGTAGCGTCATTCATCTGACCTCACCATGCCAAAATAAGGAACCGACTCGATTTACGCTTCGTGTATCTGGAAGCCCTGATTCTGCTTCCCGTGGCCTCGCCGGCGTAGGTATAGCATTGAGTCCTAGGGCAGAACTAGCTCTCTTAGACTGGATCACAGTAGACAGTCGTTTGTGCGCTGTCCGACTGAACGGAACAGTAAGAATCCAGAAAGATAGGGACACTCGTCGTTGCCTCTTCGTCGTCTCTGCCTATTCTCCCACTGACTGCAGCGCAGATGATGTAAAAGATGAGTTTTACAGAAAGCTTTCCGACCTTCTCCGAAAAGCTAGGCGCTCGGATGTAGTAATAGTGGCCGGTGACTTTAATGCTCAAGTAGGTAAACTAAGCGATAGGGAAAGACACCTAGGTGGATCTTATGGTGTCGTGGCTCAAAGAACAGATAATGGCGACCGTCTGTTGCAGCTATGCTCAGATAACCGCCTTTTCCTTGCAAGTACTAACTTTAAGCATAAGGAAAAACATCTTTTAACATGGCGACCCCCTAATTCGTCCCAACGTTGGACCCAAATACATCACATCGCTATCAGCCACCGATGGAGGGGCTCGATAGAAGACTGTCGCTCATTCTGGAGCACATGCCTAGATTCAGATCATGCTCTAGTGCGAGCGCGTATTTGCTTGCGTCTT